GATTTTAAATAATCGATTTTTCATCAATCATTTATCGGTACCCTAACTTGAGCAGGTGTTTTCCAGGGTTTCCCACGAGAGTTGAACTTCAACATTTTAAGGCATGTTATTACACATCTGTACAAACATATTGGTGAAGAAGTTGTTTGGTAACGATTTAGTTGCCAGATTTTGATATTTTTCCCTCGATTGTTAATTCATGCTGCAGTAGAGGAACAGGAGAAATAAAATAAGGCCGTACTGGACTTCTTCCACACCAACATAGGGCCCCTACACCACTTTAACAACAGTGCTTAATTTAAACTGTCTCCAAAATGGCTGGCTTTTTTGTGGTGTCAGTACGGCTGTGTTTGGATAAAAAAAAATCTCAAGTTGCCATTGAAATCCATAACCTTAGGTTCCAATCAGGAGAAAATGAGGCTTCTGTTCAAACTAAGAGACTCACATGATTTGCCAGCACAGAACATCAAGGGCCAAGTAATCACATGCATAGGATGCAGACAAAACAGTCAACGAAAATGCTACTGAAAGGTTAGAAAAGAACTGTTGATCTCCAAGTCAAGATTGTACATAAGAAGCCTAAAGTCAGAGGAGTTAGCCAACAGCAACAACCAAACTGGACAACTTGGAAAGCTGTGATCAACAGGGCCGTGACCTGTGCTCCATCAGAAGCTGACTGGGAGAGCTTAGATGTTAATGATGCAACCTAATTTGTTAACTGAGAGATTTATATTACCATTGGTTGGTTACTGTCAGAGAAGGATCATATTAAGTGCTCATGATTTCCAAGTACCATTCCTTGAGACACAATGTCTCTTTAAGCTGTCTCAGAACTAGGGTCTGCTAGGTCTGTTTTGGCCAGATCCTCTGAATCCAGTGAGGTTGATGAGTGATGAACCTCAGATGTGCTGGATATATAGCATAGAAAACAACAAGCTACACCCAGACTTTAAATATTAAAAGGTGGAGTTTGCCATTCTAATCCAGTATACTTTTTGAGAAAAAGATTTTTGTTACAGTTGGCTGGCTCTGTAAAGTGAAAACAAATAAAGCGACTTGGCCAGTTCCACACATTATTCCAGCCTGTTCCAGGCACATTTTCATTTGTCATGTTCATGCACAGTACAAGAGGAAAGGGAAGGGGATGAAAGAAGAACAGGCAGGAAGAGAGACGGTAAGTCTCGCGCATCCTAACCATCTAAATATCAACAATCTGTCTCCAGGATTGCAGACTTCATAGCTGAAGTCTTGCATAATGTGTATGTTTTTAAACTAAACTGCCATTGAAGTACGACTTGGGGAACTAAAATCTTGTAAAATAAAAAATAAAAAAAATCTAATATAATGGCATATAGGTCTTTTTTATTAACCATTACACCAACTATCTTCAGTGCATTAAGATGGGAAACCTTGACACTGCAGTGTTCCAAAGAAAGGCTCTCTGAGTGTGCAGAGAATGAGCATTTTGGTGAGTAGAGAATTACATGGGATTATCTTGGTTTTTGCTTTTGGCTGTTTGGTAGTAGCTATGGAATACTGAAGAACTTTTATTGTGTGCAAACCCATTTGCTTGTAAATTAATCGAATGCCTTACCCAGTAGAGGACATCAGTCCACCCTTGTGTGGTGATACACTGATAGACAGTCAGCATGGAAAAGCCCAGGTTGTCAAAGTGGGTAATTCCATGGTTTGGGCCTGGCCATCCAGCTCGACACTCGGTGCCATTGATGGCACAGCGACGACCATTCCCCGCTTGGGCACATGGAGCTGGCTTCTCATTTTCCACTGTAGCAATGATGTCTGAAAGCCAGAAGACAATAATGTTTGCATTTGTTCATATGTAGGGAGAATGCGAAGCCATACCAAGTTAAATGTTCTCATATCTTGTACCTTTGGGAACATATTTAGAAAAGCCCCTATGAGATTTTTATCCTCTCGGAGAAAGCTTAAACAAAGCTACTGGCCAATACAGAGTACAAATGACCTACCAATGCTTTTTATTTCTCAAAAGAAAATGTACAAACCTCACAACGGTGGGACCACTTTTCAATGCCTAATGTAACAGGATGTGATACTGGCTGCCTCCTTTCTATTCATTTTTCTCGTTCCGCCTGAGTCTCTACCCATAGCTATATCCTCACTTTCCCAATCCCCTATAACTTTAACCATGTCAAACAGCACCACCTCGCCATTAGAATGCCATCAAACTTTTGCAATGGTCCCAGTCACTTGTCTCCCACACTAGCCTGTTCCTGGCTCCCCATTCTGGTCCTGTGTTTGACCTGCCAAAAGTCTACGACCTGGCTTTTTGCCTTGCACCTCTAGAGCTACCTAATCATTTGGACTAAATCAGTCTATCCTCGCTCATTTGAGTTCTCTATCCTGCTCCTGTTACCATACACGTGACACATGAAGCTGTAACTTCACATCACTTCTTTACGATAAGTGTTTATGTGCTATTGATTTTTTTTTTAGTTTTAGTGCATTTATTAAACCTCAGCTATTTTTTTTAACCATATCCTGACCTGAGAGCATACTCATCAGTACAAGATATCTTCATGATACACGTAACATATACAAGCATTTAGTGTTATGAACAAATACAGACACAAATAGTACTGGACCGTGGTCAGTGACATGATCTGAGTCAACAGGAAACAGGACAGCTACATGTGAAAAGTTTCTGCATCACTTTGTCTAACCACATCCTCTTTGTGTGGTTGCTTGAAGACATTTCACCTCTCGTCCAAGAGGCTTCATCAGTTCTGACTGACTAGTTGACAGTCGGTCAGAACTGATGAGTCAAGGAGCCTCCTTAAGGATGTAAGTATCTGGAACTCCCAACTAGTCAGTTAGAACTGATGAAGCCTCTTGGATGAGAGGTGAGACGTCTTCAAGGAACTCAAGCAAGTCCAGTTGTTGCGATTAAACTACGAGAATAACCTGGATGACTGAGAATCTTCACAGACATCTTTGTGTGGTATCTTTTAGCTCAAAACCACAACTGACCCCCTAAAATACCTAGCTCATTGTTGTTTAATTTGAGTTTTTAATTGCAACAAGTCCATGCTTACAAAGATTAGGCTAAAACAAAGTCTATCATGAAAATGCACAATTTCAAAGTAGCTCTTTAACTTCACAAAATGTTCCTAAAATGTCTAAATGTATTTTTAGCAGAAAAATTGATCATGTCAGTTTTGTCAAAATGTGCAGCCCAGTAAAAGCCTACTGCTGCTATGCCATTAAAAGATAGGTCCACATTTGGTGAACTCTATTTTAAAACAGTATATATAGCATACTACAGATACGTGGCACAGATTATAGGTCACGTTGTTACTATTTTTAAACTTATTTATTTTTTGTATGTGGCACTGCAAGTGATGAGTTAGTATCAAAAACATATTTAAAATCAACACTATCTTTCAGCAGAAAAGAGTAGCAAGGGCAAAGCAGAGAGGAAAGATAGGTTACTGTTAAGACCTCATCCTAACACAATTGCTGAAACAAGGCATTTTTCATGGCATTAGTTTGTCAAGACCCACAGAAACCTTAGATGTCTCTCACTTCACTACGCATTTATTTGGTCATTTTGAATCTTGTTGTGGTTTATGTGCATTGCATTGTAGACCTACTATGATTTCTTCAAAATCCTTTCAACTGTACACACAGCTTTGTAGATTACTTCACTAATTATATCTTCATTGCAACTGAATGTTATGATTCCTGCAACACTATGCAGGAATCATAGCATCATAATCACTAGCCAGTCAATCTTCAAATATGCCTGTTTATGCTTAATTGACTTTAAAACACGAATGACTTCTTTTTTTTTAAATATGTCTTCTTCTGCTCACCTGCTGCTCTTCTTTCCAGAGAAAAGAAAGAAAATGATTAATCATGACTGAACCTTATCCTTACTCCACATTGAGATTCTGCATTTTATGCAGAATGGGTGCACAATATATAATATATATTTCATTTGTGAATTAGAAATGGCTATGTGACTAACACTGAGTACAAACTGTTACATAATAATAATAATAATGATAATGATAATGATAATGATAATGATAATGATAATAATAATAATAATAATAATAATAACAAAAAGTCAAAATTTCACATCCATACATCACAGTCCCCCATCCATCCAGACCACTGTCCTGGGCTGTCTGTCAAATATGTGATATTTGGTATAAATAGAATTATTGCCATATATAACCCTTTATTGTCGCATACTGTACTTGTGCCAGTGTAGTAGCAGGTTTTGTGCATTTTGCACTTGAAGAGTTCCAGTGCCATAATGGAGTATATGGTGACCATGAAAAAGACCAGTAAGGTGATATGGAACAGTGGCAGCATGGACTTCAGGATGGAGTTCATCACCACTTGCAGGCCTAAGGAGGGAGATAGGATGCATCTTGGAATTAACCAACTTAAAATTCCATAAAATTGGTCATTTTTCACAATGTGTCGTCCCCCAAGCAGGCGATCATTCCCCTACTTATAATCACTGTAATGCCTCTGGTTGTAGGGTATTGGCTTGAACCTTTTCCACTTTACTACTAATAATAACAAATACTGTTACTAAAATTCATTTACAAAGATAGAATAATTGAGTGCATTTGCTACAGCGTAATGAAATTCGACAATTTAACGGTTCAAAGTATCTTATTCAAGTGCAGATCACTGACTTACTGGGGACTCCAGAGACCAGTCTGAGTGGTCGGAGGACTCGGAATGCCCTCAGAGCTTTCATGTCAAAGCCACCTCCTTTTTCACCTACTGGAGCCTCCACTCCACTGATGTGGTTAATGGCATCCACTGCCACAGTAAACAGCCTAATGAGACACAGACAGAACACATTAGGTTTTCTTTCATGTTGAGATAACAGTTGCCAAAATGTCAAACACTGGTCAGGTCTGTACCTTACTATGTTAAGCGCTGTGAGATGACATATATTGTGAATTCACGCTATATAAATGTATTAGTTTATTAAATTTGTTCATAAAAAAATGTAATAAATTGAAAAATTGAATTGAACGTTCCCAGGATACACTGTTAAAGGAAGTGTGAATCGTTCTTGACCATGCTCACTGACAGGTGCCACACTGATTCTGCCTCTCCTTCTTAGTACTTTTAATTGTATCTTTGTTCCCTTTGGGTGCCCTCTCCCTCAAAACTTAGTTCCACCTACCGAAGAATGAGGAGACGTGCAGAAAAAAATTACAGTGGAATGTATGCAAAAGACTTTGTTGAAGTCTGATGTAAATTAATTTGCTTCCTAAAGATTTTTTTATTAATTCATATTCATGAAGCTTGGCGATAGTTCAGACAGGCACGGAGTCAGGACATCACAAGACCCTTTTCTGTCCAATCATTTACTGCTTAAGTCCATCCCTCCCACTTAGCGTGCTTTATAACTGAGGCAGCCTTCGTTCATTCTGCCTGCTTCATGCTCACCACATCACTGCTACACCAGCCTTGACAGATCGACAAATCTCCTCCTCCCCAACCTCCCTCTTTAAAAGGTTCAGTTTCCCAATTTCATAACTCTGGTTGTTTCTCAGATTGTGGGACTGTAGAACACAGATGGTTAAGTTGGTCTCTTTGTCTTTGTGTTCATACCGTATTCATTTGAACATTGTGAAATTAAGGTGATTCAATGAGTTTAAAAATATAATTTGCCTGCATATCTACTTGTAACTATAGAAAGCTGAGTGAATGTAATCTGAATGTAATAAAAGTATGCTATCCATTTAAGAGATGGAGATAGGACATACAATGTGTTTAGGCTGAGAGAACATGACATGTTTTCAACTGTGAGTTTTTCATTAAAGGCTACAAAATGTAAAGATGGATATGTTTGCGACCATTCGTTTTAGGGGTACAACATTATTTACCCTTATGCTTCTCAGGGCAGAAATAAAAACCAGGTCCCATGAGAAAATACAAGAGCAATAAAAATGATACTGGGATGTACCCTGTCTTTCTACATTTATATGTGTCAGTTAACAGGGGCTGACAAGAAATCCTTAATCTTTAATACTACTAGAACACTACAGCCTATTTTACTGCAGGCATGGAGCTATGGTGTTGATGTATCTGTTCTGTCAGGCGTGTGGGATTTACAATTGATGACCAAGGCTTAGATGAATTCTGTGCGGCCATGCTGACAGAGTAAAATACTTTTCCACGGCACAGCAGTTTTTCCACAACAGCACAACAAAGAAAAATAAACTATTAACTCTACTGCGCTTCACTATGTTAGCCTCTTGTTGGTGATATCACAGGAGAGCATTGCCAATAACAGCTCTGCTAACTTGGTGATAGACTTGTTTCTGCCTACTGCTGCTTTGCTGGTTAAACTCTAATGAAAAACATTGATACATGAATGGCTTGTATCAGCAATGACTCACGAAACATAGGCATGAAACAAAACTCAAACTGAACTGGAGGGTAGGGTCTACCAAGAACTTTGCTGCTAAATTGGACTGTCCCCCTACAGACCTACAGGTCTCTGGAAACGCTGCATTATATGTTTTCAGTAATATTTTTGTATATAAATACATTATATTGCCAAAAGTATTCGCTCACCTTGACTCACATATGAGCTTAAGCATTCCTAATCCATAAGGTTCAATATGATGTTGGTCCACCCTTTGCAGCTATAACAGCTCAACTCTTCTGGGAAGTCTGTCCACAAGGTTTAGGAGTGTGTTTATGGGGATGTTTGACCATTCTTCCAGAAGCGCATTCATGAGCTCACACACTGATGTTGGACGAGAAGGCCTGGCTCTCAGTCTCCGCTCTAATTCATCCCAAAGGTGTTCTATTGGGTTGAGGTCTGGACTCTGTGCAGGCCAGTCAAGTTCATCCACACCAGACTCTGCCATTCATGTCTTTATAGGCCTTACTTTGTGCACTGGTGCACAGTCATGTTGGAAGAGGAAGGGGCCATCTCCAAACTGTTCCCACAAAGGTGGAAGCATGGAATTGTCCAAAATCTCTTGGCATGCTGAAGCATTCAGAGTTCCTTTCACTGGAACTGAGGGGCCAAGCCCAGCTCCTGAAAAACAACCCGACATAATCTGAAGGCCACATGAAGTTTGGAGGTCTGTAGTGATTGGCTCTGCAGAAGGTTGGCGACCTCTTTGCACTGTGCGCTTCAACATCTGCTGAACCCGCTCTGTCAGTTTATGTGGCCTACCACTTCATGGCTGAGTTGCTGTCATTCCCAAACACCTCCATTTTCTTATAATACGGCTGACAGATGACTGTGGAATATTTAGGAGCGAGGAAATTTCACAACTGGATTTGTTGCACTGGTGGCATCCTATCACAGTACCACGTTGGAATTCACTGAGAGCGACCCATTCTTTCACAAATGTTTGTAAAAATAGTCTGCATGCCTTGGTGCTTAATTTTGTACACCTGTGGCCATTGAAGTGATTGGAACACCTGATTCCGATAATTTGGATGGGTGAGCAAATACTTTTGGCAATATAGTGTATATATAGACACACACACACACACAAATACATATATGTGTGTGTGTGTGTGTGTGTGTGTATATATATATGCATATATTAGAGATGCGCCGATCCGATACTGGGTATCGGTATCGGGACGATACTGGACGAAATTACGGCATCGGATGATTTACTTGACAGTGGTAACTGGCCGATCTGATGAGAAGGGTATGTGTGCAGAGCCAGAGAGCGCACGTACAGGGCTGCTCATAGAGGGCTGCACGTAGAGGGCTGTACTAATCTTCTACGGCCGTATAAGTGCACGGCTTCTAGTTCGGGTGCACGACGTAGTTTTAAAGGGTGATTTCACTCAAAATATTATTTTGTAGGCATTTATTACTGCTCATGCGCAGAGCCAAGAGCGGCTACTGCCCACGTCTCGTGAGCAGCAGCCAGAGCGTCAGAGTGTGTCAGCGAAGTTGTGGTAATATCAGTGGTGTGGAGTTATTTCAAGCTTAACGAAGTGAAAAGCAAGACAGCAGAGTGCAATTTATGCAGTGCGAATGTCTCAAGGGATGGAAGCAGCACAGGAAACTTCAACACCACCAACTTGATAAAGCATTTGCGGAAGCATCATGGAAAAGAGTATGCAGACTACATCCAAACAACGAGCGCCAAGCGGAAAAGCGAGCCACAACAACAAACACTGCAGGAAACTATGGAGAAGCGCCAGAAACTACCTCAAGACAGCAACAAAGCAAAGCTGATAACAGAGAAAGTTGCCAAGTTTATTCTGCTGGATGACCAGCCGCTCTCAGTTGTGGAGAACATGGGGTTTGCTCGTTTAATGGGACATTTGGAGCCATGATGTAAGATGCCCACCTGGCATTTTATCTCTGATACAGCCGTCCCACTGAAGTACAAGGAGGTGTGTGAGTTTATTTCGAAGTGCCTTGAAAACGTTGCCGTTGTCAGTTTTACTACTGATATCTGGAGCTCAAACGTGTGCCCTATGTCTTTACTCAGCCTGACGGCACAGTGGATAGACCCGAACTTTATTATGCAAAAAGCAGTGCTGGGAAGTCAATGAACCTAGGTTTCCTTCCCTGGCAGTCACAGAAAAAAAGTTTCTCAGTGCACCTTCAACAAGCGTAGAGAGTGAGAGACTATTTAGCACAGCCTCTATTATTATTGATGAAAGGAGGAGCAGACTCACAGCTGAGAAAGCTGAAGTGCTCATCTTTCTAAAGAAGAACCTGCCCCTCATGTTGAAGTGAACAAACTTCAGTGAACAAACCTCAGGGTTGTTGTGACAGTGTTTGTAGGTCAGGCTCTGAGTGATATGACTTGTCTTAAAACTTGAACCTACACTTTTGTTTACATTATTGTTATTTTTCTACTGAGATTGCGTTTGTTCTCATATTGAGTGTTAAATAGCACAATTAAAAACACAAACTCAAAGGCTGCTTTAAAAGAAGTTACTATGAACAATACTATGCACTTAAGCCCTTGCTTTATTTTTTTCTCCCATGTTTTGTGCAGCTAATTTTATGTTATGTGGTAAAGCCCACATATTTTATTTTGAATATCTTAAGAGGCCATAAATAAGCACTGTATACCACTGTACATTTTCTATTAGTGGTACTACTATTTAATACCAAGTTTTGGTAACTTAACCTTTAAATTGCAGCTTAATGTTGCTGTGTCATTTTGATCTGTTCTAAATATTTGAATGGCACTGAGTGCACACTGTAGTCTGATTGCAGCTCAAATAAAGCAGCTACAGTTTCACTTTGAGACATGCTTTTGGCTATTTTTTCCTTTCTTAGAAAAGCAAAGTGTATGCTTTAATAGTATGAGGCTTTGGATAAAGCCATCTTACACAAATGTATCCATGCAAATAAGGTATTTCCGAAGAAGTTTAGGAGGAGAGATAGTATCAGTATTGGTATCGGTATTGGTATTGGTATCGGTATCGGCAGATACTCAAAGTTGAAGTATTGGTATCGGTATCGGAAACCAAAAAGAGGTATCAGTCCATCCCTAGTATATATATATTTCTTTTTCTTCTGAGTATATTCATAGATGTTTTGACATTGTGTCATAGCGACATGTCATTCTTAGTAAGAGAGCATAAAAGAGTTACAGCATCCTATTTACTGTAAAACTAGTGCAAACACAACATGTTGTTCTATAAGGCTCACAATGCAGTTGATTAGTTATTCACATTTTCTTCCCACTTGTATTTATGATGGATTAAAAACAACAAGAACAGCAACAACTACAAAATAGCTTAGGTCTCATCAGAAGACAGGCAAAATATGAAGGCGTGCACAGAAACCATAACAATGAGAAAAAAGCATGCAAAATCCAAAATGTATAGGACCAGAGTCAAGCATGAGCTGACAGTTCTAAGCATTTCTAAATTCTACCTCAGAATTACAGTACTACAGCCATTCAGACTAGATGGAACCAGCTTCGATTGATCAACTTACCCTACAGATACACAAACGAAGTCCAAAATGTTCCAGCAGTTTCTTAAATATGCATCTGCATGAAAAAGAAACCCATAGGCAACAATCTTCAGGAAACACTCTATGGAGAAGATGATGAGGAAGATGTACTCCAGGCTTTCCTGTAAAACAATAACAACAGGCTTTGTTTAAATCTGTTACTGAGTTATTGTGCTTCATAGATTTTTTTTAAATTCTCATCCAGTTAGTTGCTGTCTTGACAGCATCAAATGCTGGATGGAAAAGAATTTTCCTCAACTAAATGAAAACAAAACTGATGTTTTTATAGTTTGTCCATGCAGTCCTGTTCCATTTGAAATAAGCACAATGTAGTCAAAAAGCTTGGTGTATTTCTGGACTTCCATTTTGATTTTATTAAACATGTCAGCACCATTGTCAGGGGCAGATTTAGTCATCTAAGAAGCATTGCTAAACTGAGACTGATTTTATCTTCTAAGGACCCTGAAACAGTGATCCACTCAATCATTAGCTAGCTGCTGGAGTTCACTACTGTACCTCCTTGTATGTGGGATTGACACAGTACAACCTTAGCTAACTATAGTTCATCACAGTTACAGCTCTCAGTACCCCACACAAAAAGCATTCAGTATTATACTTGTCAGTGTAGCAGGATTAAATCCTGAAGTTATGCTTTAAGTGTCTTTTTCATTCATACTATCGGCTGAGTACTTAGATCATCACCCCTGGTCGTGTTTCTTACAGCTTCATGAGAGTTTTATGTTGCACATCACAGTAATCCTCCTCTGGCTATTCATGTCACTTACAAACTCACATGCCACAAGAATTTTTTATAGCCTCTCCCATTTCTACAGAGGCATGCAATGACTCTGTGTGAGTCTATTTAAATATAACCACACTGACAATGCCCTTCAGTGGCATTGAACTAATATGCAAGTCCAACACTGTCTTTGAGTCATTGTCCTTGGATATAAACATAACTAATTAGTTTAAACTGACTAATAAAGTAATTAATCACTGCATTGCAAAACTTAGCCATGCCAAAGTTTAAACCTAAAAAAATGACAATTTAATTTTCCCTTTAAAATATTGATGGGGTGTAAAGAAAAAAAACCAAAAGAAAATCTGGTCCTGAGGGCTCTGCGCAGTGTCTTAGCTGTTCCGAGGACTGCACTCTTCTGGATAGAGATCTCAGATGTAGTTCGAGGGATTAGCTCAACGTTGCTGTCACTTGCGATTGCTACATCTATCACTACTGCCTTCTTCTGCTGTTTATCGACTGCCACATTGTCTGGTTGATTAGCCACCATCAGTTTATCAGTCTGGATTTGGAAGTCCCATAGGATATTGGCTCGGTCATTCTCTACCATCTTTGGAGGCATCTTTCATGTTGGTCCTGGAACTTCCAGCCCATACTCGGCGCAGATGTTTCTGTACACTATGCCAGCTACTTGGTTATGACGCTCCATGCATGCTGCTCCCACCTGTGTATTACAGCCTGCTGTGCTGTACTGTCTCAGGTGCATCATTACACAGCCTACACCTGGGGGTCTGTCTGTTGTGGTAGACCCCAGCCTCTATTGATTTTGTGCTGATGTCTGGTCTTGTGCTGTCATGATTACGTGCCTCTGTGCTGTCTTTCAACCCTGGTTATTGCAGCCATTGGTGTGTTTTCTCTATATCCACCACTTCTTCTATCTGTTGGTGGCGTATGCCATTCCGGTCTGAATGTTTATAGGAAGAGCCTGAAGACTCAGGGGAATCTTGGCCGATATCTGTGGTAGACATTGCCAAGATAGTTAAGAAACTCCTTGGTGGCAAAACACCACAAATGGATGACATTCACCCTGAGATGTTGAAGGCTCTGGACATAATTGAGAAAGTTTACTCTAGAGTGCTGGAAGAGAGGCTCCAACCGATTGTTCAACCTTGGATTGAGGAGGAGCAATGCGGATTCCATCTTGGTCATGAAATGGCAGACAAGCTCTTTACCCTGCTGAAGGGGTCATGGGAGTTTGACCAGCCCATCTACATGTAATTTGTGTATTTTGAAAAGGCCTACAGCCATATCCCCCCAGGGGCTCTGTGGGGGGTACTGAGGGATTATGGGATACCAGGCTCACTGAGCCATTCGGTCCCTATACAACCAAAGCGGAAGCTGTGTTTGCATTCTTGGCACAGATACAGACACGTTTCTGGTGGGTGTTGCACTCTACCAGGGCTGCCCCTTGTCTCCATCCAATTCTGTTTGTGGTGTTCATGAACGGGATCCAGTTTGGGGACTTCAGGATTGCATCTTTGCCTTTTGCAGATGCCGTGGTACTGTTGGCTTCATCACACCGTGACCTTCAGCACACACTGGAGTGGTTTGCAGCTGAGTGTGAAGTGGCTGAGATTCGAGTCAGCACCTCAGGTTCTGAGGCCATGGTTCTCTGTTGGAAACCAGTGGATTGCTCTCTCCGGACTCTTTCTTGAATGTCTGTTATAATGATATTCACTGGGTCTTGTTCAGGGAGGTTGCTGTGGTGTGCTTACATATCCATTTACCACTGAGCACTGGTGGTATGCAATGCCTCTGTCTCCAATATTCTTTTCCAGTTCTGTACAGACTGTTCTGATCATCGTATTGCCATCCTACTGAGCGTAAACTTTGGATGGTTCGGTGAAGAACATCCTGTTTCTCCTTCTGGCTTCTGCTTCTCTAGTGTACCTCTTCAAAAGGGTGGCCAAGGTTGTGAGCCTTTTTTTTTTTTTTTTTGCAGTCTCCAGTGTCTCAGGTACAAACACACTGTTGTTTCTAGGCAGTCCTTACAATATTATATTATGTAGAGAAACCCCTTCCCACCATTGCCTACTACTAGCTCAGAGGGTGTAAAAGGCAACTTTGGATTGCTGGGTTCTCTGTTTAAATTTGTAAGGGATTGAATTGAATTAAATTGAACTTTTTCAGTGCAAAGCTTCATGAGTAAGCACAGCATTAACTGCAAGACACATATTTTATTTCATAACAGTTTTGGTCATTTGATTATTTATCAAAGTTCCAAAAGAATAGTTTAGCATATTCAGTGAGATTGGTACTCTGATTTGATGAGCCTCATCTGAATACCTAAGCAGGTTTATTAAAAACCTGATGTATTTTTAATAAACGTGCCTACAGTAATAGTTCTTTGTTTACACTGTTTTGATTAACCCGATTCAGGACTTTCATGTTGCCATATGTAGAAGGTCTTTCAGGGTGGTATTCATTATAGATTTTTATACTATGTTAAATACATTTTCTGATAAGTTGACATATTTTTGGTTCCAAATGCAAAGATTTTTTTTTTTTCATTTAAAAAAACAAAACAAAAAAAAAAAACAAAAAAAAACAATACCTGTCACCTAAAACAAATGGCCTGGGGTCCAAAAGAGTTCGAGTTAGTTATCAAAGCATTGGAGATCTGCAGGAAACCGCTGGGGTCATTTTCCTTGATGATCTCCAAAAAGTACTCCATCAGTCCTGTGGTCTGACGCAGCTTCACCGTACAGTGGGAAGATCTGATCCCGCACAAACCGTCAGCTTGTGTTCATGCTCTTTGTTTACGCAAGCCAGTAGCTGGGCTTTGCGTCGTAACGTTAAAGGGTTAATGTATACTACCATTTCGATTGAATTGAGATATTTCTTTGTTTTGACATGTTCAACATTGTTCTAGACAATACAAAACACTAAAGGAAAAAAGAAAAGAAAGCTTTTAAATAGGGGACATTCTCCCAAGGTTTAATTGGTACTGGATGTTGAGACTTTTAGACTTGAAGACTGTTTTCAAATTTGGCTGCAGAAAACAAGCATTTGTTTGAGATCACCAAAAATTGGAGTTCATCTGTGGACCTGCGACCAGAATTTGTAGCATCATCAGTCGTTTAGTTTTTCAGAGTGTGACATGTTAATAGATTGATACATTGAAAAATAGATTATGGATAAAATAGATGCTATACTTGATTAATTCCAGGGAAAGGTCTGTGTCACAGGAAGTCAGTATATTAAAAGTACAACAAACACATGTGCTTCAATAGTTTGTTGAGTAGCTAGTCTGTAATAAGTCATCACGGTGCAGTACAGTCAGTACTCATGGTATGTCGTAATATCTATTTATGCACAAACACAAACATGCTGACACACCAAGTTGCTGTTGGTATTGTTGCTGTCTTCCTCAGGCATTGGCAAGTAGACAGCCAGGGCCACACAGTTGGCAAAAATGGCCAGCAGGATTATGATTTCAAAAGGTCTGAGAGTGATTTATAGGAAGCTTACATACTTATCAATTTAGTTCATACTTTATATAGATATGTGCACAACGAAACAGCAAACACTTTAACACACACAATCAAGACATACACCTTTAGCTAGAAGCCCACACCAACCAGCACCAGCCATCAAATATTTAATGGTACTTTCAATGCTGTCATATTGTACAACTGATCCAGCCACCCCTCTGCCCAGTGCCCTTTACTACAAGGATACTTCCATTCCACAATACTGATGCATGCCTTGCGGAAGGGATTCCTTAGTGTCAAGAAGAGGAGAGATCGTGCAGGCCTCGGGTTGCCTCCTGTAGCCATCAGCTTCTTTAACTTCTCCTTCTGTTTTCTCTTCAGAGTTTCCTCATCCATGATGTAGGATGATAATGGGGGGCTGCTGTTGTCAGCCATTGTGGCTTCGAGTGAGTAGTTGTGCTCAGTTTACCTTGAATTGGAAGTGGTATCCCAAAGGCTGTCAGATAGTTTTCCGAAATCTGCTGATCTCGTTGACAAGGTCTGTATGTAAGCCCTCTCAGCTTTTCTGAGTCATCTCTCCCACACCATCTCTCACTGATGGTTTGACTGAGCTCTCTTTCTCGGTCTCTCTCTGTGGAATGGCAGCTGTCCCTGCTACTTACTGAGCAGCTGTTTGGACAAGAGAATAAATATAGACAATGAGTGGCCGCCATAGCATGGGGTTACAAAACAGGACATTAGCACAGACATAGTGTGGGTGTGATATTTGTTAGGAGTGAGTGTGTCCAAGAATGAGTTTGATAAAGGTACAGGTAAAATTCTTCAGAATTTGTGGAACTATACTGCCTTTCCAGTTTTCATAAAGTCTACTTTAAGATGTGCATCATTACTACATCAATAAAATGGAGATTAGCTTTAATCTTAAAACATGTCTTCACAACAAAATTCATTGAGTTATGTCATGGCTAATTGCTTCTTGTCCCTTTTGTCCAGGGAGCGTTCCCATGACTGTGTGAACAGTTTTAGGTCCCTCACACACAACAGCAAACACATGCACATTCCCACCCACTTCTGCCACAGGACAAAGAGCCCAAACTAAATTCCATAATTCCATAAGAGCAGCATATACGTCAGAACCAGATTAACCACTAGAGGGAGGCAGTTAACCACAAAAGAATGGCAGTTTGATCCCTGACCCCTCTGCAATATTATAAAGTGGTGTGAGTAAATATTTAGGGTCCGAGCACTACAGTGCGTAGGACCCTATTGGAACTGCTATGTCATCGTTGAATGTTCTTCCGGTTTGGCAGCAGATGGAGTAGGTGTGCTGCTCTCTTGTTCCCGCAGCCTCTTCAAACTTTTCCATAAAAAAACCCTTCTTTTTGTCTTCTAAAGACCGTTAATCTTTGATTTAATTTCGGACAATCGGGAGACGTGGCACGGACATGTCTAGATCCGGAGGACGAATGAGGAGGGAGCTGCCTGAAGAGGACTCCATAGCTGGGGCTAACAGCGAGGCTAGCTTAACAGCGGCGCACATCTCAGACCTCCTCGAGCAGCACAGAGCAGCGCTGGCCTTGGACTTCAAGTCCTCTTTCGCTACCGTGGACAAAAAGCTTGACCAGATTCAGGTCGCGGTCTCTGGCCAGGGACAACGTATTACCGATCTTGAGTCTAATGCGGAGGAAGTGAGTCAACGTCTGGAGCAGATCAAAGCTAGGTGCGCCTCACTACAGCTGGACAACAAATTGCTGAAATCTAAACTTTCGGATCTGGAGGGAAGGAGCAGGAGACAGAATATCCGTTTGGTTGGCTTACCTGAATCCCTTGAAGGTAATCGTCCTACTGCCTTTTTCTCTCAGTTTCTCTTTGATATCTTTGGCGAAAATGTGTTCCAGTCAGCTCTGGAATTAGATAGAGCCCACCGTAGCCCCGCGCCCAAACCAGGACCAAGTGACAGACCACGTCCCGTCATTATCCGCTTCCACCGGTTCCAGGTGAAAGACTTGGTTATGAGGGAAGCGCGTAAGCGTGGGAGCTTGGAATACAACGGACAAGATTCGAATCTACAAGGATTACACCGCAGAGGTTCTGAAACAAAGGACCAAATACAAAGATGTCATGGCTGCCAGAGCGGCGAGAAGAAGTGGCTTCCCTCCGTGTCCCAGGCCGCCCATTTCATTGATGTTCTGGACAAGAGCTCATCCACGTCACCATAATCTGGCTTTTGCAGACAGTTACCCAAGGACCTCGGCAGTCCGTTGAAAATCCAGTTCAGGTCTTTGTGAATAAATCTCCTTGGTGATATCCTTCTTTTCCTTGTTCTTTTTTTTTTTTTTTTAAATATACAGTACAAAATAAATGTTAAGCCAATGTTGTATACGTGAGCTACTCAGTCGTGCAAGCCTAAACCAGAGATGGTCTGTTATGTAGATGAATAGTTAACCTTTGTCTAATTTAACTCGCACGTTGCATTTACTTGGTCGCTTACTTCATGTCATCCTGTTTACGTTTTTTGTTTGTTATTATTATTATTATCATTATTATTATTGTTATTATTGGGTTAATCTGTTAATTGGTGCGGGAAACAGAGTTTTAGGGAAGTAAATAAGTTTTGGGGATGAACATGGTAAGAATTGGGGTGGTTCTGTGTGTTTTCTGTTCAGAGCCATATGTTGGGAGGGTGTGTGGGTGTGGGTGGGGGGTAGTTTCCTTATTTATCATTATTAGTCTTTTTTTTTTCTTTTTTTTTTCTCTCTCTCTTCTTTTGGAAGCTACTCATTTCAGTCACTTGTTCTTTGCAGGCTCTAGATGAAGGGTAATCTCAATTTCATCAGCTGGAACGTCAAAGGCTTAAACCATTCAGTGAAAAGAAACAAAGTTTTTTCTCACCTAAAGCATCTCAATGCAGGGGTTGCATTTCTTCAAGAAACTCACTTGCGTGACTCTGACCAGTGGCGACTGGGTAGGTTTTGGACTGGCCAGATTTTCCACTCCCACTTTGGCGGGAGAGCTCGAGGCACAGCTATCCTTATTGATAGAAACATCCCCTTTGAGCCTTCTGACATAATATCAGACAGAAGCGGACAGTATATTATTATTTCAGGCAAACTTGGTAATAAGTTAGTCATATTAGCTAATGTGTATGCCCCTAATATTGATGATGTACAGTTTTTTTTTTTAACAATTTCCTCTCCAAACTTCCTAATCTCAATTCACACTCTTTAATTCTAGGTGGGGATTTCCGTTGTTTCTTAGATGCCGCGTTGGACCGCTCCTCTCCTAGGCCTGCTGCCCTGAGTAAATCGGTTAGGTTTCTTAAATCGTTCCTGTCTGATCTAAGCCTATCTGACCCTTGGCGCTTCCTTTACCCTACTGGAAGAGAATAGTTTTTTTTTTTCTCATGTTCACCATACGTATTCCCGGATTGACTATTTTTTCATGGACAGCTCTTTAATCTCAAATCTGAAATCCTGTCATTATGAGAGTATTATTATCTCAGATCATGCATCGCTTGTTCTTAGCCTTTTCTTTCCAGATGTTGTCCAGGCAAGGAAGCACTCGAGACTCGACCCATTGCTGCTAAAAGATGAGAGTTTTCTGCTGCACATCTCTAATCATATTGACTCATTTCTCAGCAATAACAGATCTCCAAGTATGTCAAATAAAACTATATGGGAGGCAATGAAAGTATATCTAAGAAGTGTAATTATATCGTTTGCAGCCTATAAAAGAAAGTGTTCAAAACAGAAACAAACTGAAATTGCTAATCAGATACTATGTATTGATAAGCAATACGCAAATTTTCCGTCTCCTGCATTATATAAGGAGCGCTTAAAACTTCAAACAGAGTACAACCTTCTCACTTCTCATGTAGTGGAGGGCCAGCTCCTTAGGAGTAGAAGCAGTTTTTATGAACGTTGTGAAAAGTCAGGTAAACTTCTAGCTAACCAATTGAGAGGTCTCAGAGTGAAGCAACTTATCCCAGGTTTAAGGACAGATAACGGTGGTGTTACCTCAGATCAGAAGACTATTAATGAGAAGTTTAAAGCATTTTATTCTAGTTTATATCGTTCAGACTGCGCATCTGATACTACTATCATGGAAGACTTCTTTTATAATTTAGACTTGCCATCCCTGTCTGAAGACCTGAGAAATAAATTAGAAGTTCCTATTACTCAGGAGGAAATTTCAGCGGCTATATCATCTATGCAATCGGGCAAGTCCCCTGGCCCAGATGGCTTACCGTCAGATTTTTATAAGAAATTTTCTGCAGAGTTGTCGTCCTTCTTATGCTTGGTTTTTTCTGATTCATTGGATTCAGGAGCTCTCCCTCTCTCATTAAACCAGGCATGTATCTCCCTTCTGCTGAAAAAAGATAAGGATCCTTTAGAATGTTCCTCCTACAGACCTATCTCACTTTTAAATGCAGATGTCAAAATTCTGGCCAAAGTCCTTGCTCATTGTTTGGAGAACGTCTTGCCCTCTATCATTTCCCCCGACCAAACTGGGTTTATCAAAAATCGGCACCCATTTCACAATATACGGAGATTATTCAACATTTTATACTCTGGCAAGTATGGTGATCATGAATGTCTTATCTCCATCAATGCTGAAAAGGCATTTGATAGGGTAGAATGGAACTATCTCTTTCAGACACTTTCAAAATTTGGTTTTGGCCCTATTTTCTCCTCCTGGATCAAGCTACTTTATGCATCTCCCTCAGCCTCGGTCTTGACAAACGGTCTATATTCTGAATATTTTGATTTACATAGGGGCACTCACCAGGGCTGCCCTTTGAGTCCGCTCCTGTTTGCCATCGCCATAGAGCCACTAGCAATAGCTATCCATAGCAATGGAGGGATCAGTGGAATCACTAGAGGAGGCATAGATCATAGGCTTTCTCTTTATGCGGATGATTTACTTCTTTATGTTTCTAAACCAGGGCTGCAAGGTGGCGCAGTTGGTAGCACTGTTGCCTCGCAGCAAGAAGGTTGCCGGTTCGCGTCCCGGTGGGGGCACCGGAATCTTTCTGCGTGGAGTTTGCATGTTCTCCCCGTGCAGTGTGGGACACACAGTCCATGTTGAGATTAATTGGTGATTCTAAATTGTCCGTAGGTGTGAATGTGAGTGTGCTTGGTTGTCTGTCTCTAAGTGTGGCCCTGCGATGGACTGGCGACCTGTCCAGGGTGTTCCCTGCCTTCGCCCTAAGTCGGCTGGGATGGGCTCCAGCCCCCCCCCCGCGACCCTAGTGAGGATTAAGCGGTGTATAGAAAATGGATGGAAGAAAATAGAAAATGTTTCTAAACCTAGTAGTTCTCTTCCAGTAGCCCTCTCTGTTTTTGAATCCTTTAGTCAGTTTTCAGGATATAAAATTAATTTAAACAAAAGTGAACTTTTCCCAATCAATATGGAAACTCAAATCTATCAACACAAATTTTCCATTTAAAGTAGTGACTAGTCATTTTAATTATCTCGGTATTTGTGTCACAAGAGAATTTAGACAATTATTCAAACACAATTTTCTTAACATGTTCAATCAAGCCAAAGTAATCTTGTCAAAGTGGTCTCTTTTGTCATTGTCTCTCATTGGAAGAATGAACTCAATCAAAATGACACTAC